AGTTTATACTATTCCCTAATAGACAAAAAAGTTTGAGAGAAAAAAAAGATGTGGCAATTTGAAAAAAATCAATTTGAAAAAAAAATTTTTTTTTTGTTCATAAACAATAATTAATTATTAATAAACAATTACTGATGTTTAGTTCACTAGATCGATTCAGCAGATCAATATCTGCAATTAAAAAAAAAAATCGTTAGAATCCTTGCTTTTTTGCGGCAGTTATAAACGATTTCATCAAAAGTTGCTATTAAGAGAGGAAAAAAGAAGGGTTCGTAATCAAAAAAAAAAAAAATCATTATTCGAAAAATTCGCATTTCTGAGCAAAAAGAAAAAATGCGTGTATCCTTAAATTGTTCAAGGAACAATCCCTGTGAGTTTTATCGCAATCTTAAATTCACTTTCCGCCGGCCTGGGTGATTTGAGATGGAATGAGCCATAATATTATGTGCATGTGCAAGAACGTTATCAATAAATGATTTTGGAGTAGGTATGTGTATTGGGTACATATGTACATATGTAAGTACATACATACATATATTCAAATGCGATCAACTAATTAGCAAGGAAATTTAATATGATATTCTTTGCAAATTATGTTTATTTATTTTTAATGATTTTCATTTAAAATATAATTCAATCTGTAACAAGAACCACAATAACAAAAGTTTAAAAGCTTGCACAAATCGCAAAAAAAAAAAACTAATCAAACTTCAAGAAATGGTCATCCAAATTTTTAATTAGAATATTTAAAAAAATTTCGGGTATGCAGTATTGTAGTCCATTCAATTATAGTATAAGAAAGTGCAGGTTTCAAGTTGTTAAAAATTACTGTTGATTTTATAGATTTTTTTGTGGGGGTTTTGCTGTTGCTAGATTTTTTTTATCAAATTTTTTTTGTATTCTAAAAAATTCTAAAAAATCAACGGTAATTTTTAATGACTAGAACCTTGCACTTTAGTGTACCTCATTGAATGGGATACAAAGCAGCATACCCGAAAATTTTCTAAATTTCAAATTAAAAATTTTGAAATCTTGATAACAATTTTTTTGAAGTTTGATTAATTTTTATGCAATTTGTGCAAGCTTTTAAACTTTTATTATTGTGGTTTCTGTTATAGATTGAATTCTATTTTAAAGGAAATTATTAAAAATAAATAAATAAACATAATTCGCAAACAATATCATTTTGAATTTCGTTGCTAATTAGTTGATCGCATTTGTGTGTAGGTACTACAAGCATCCATATCAGGGATGAAAAAGTAGGTACAATTGTACCTTTTTCCGACGTTTGCTGACCTAAAGGTACATTAGGGACAATCACTAGATTTTAGGAGGCACATCATCTTTTCATCAGATGCATTTTTAGGTTTTTTGCTCTCACCGTGCTAATATATTTACTTGTTGGCATGGGAGAAGCTTCGTTTTCATTTTGAAAAATAAACAATTCTAAAGAAACCTCTCTTCTCTTCTCTTAAACATGTTACCTAGCATTTAAAAAAAGCCCAAAAATGGACACTGAACTTAGCTATCCTCAAATTCGTACTTCCTGTTATACTTTTCAATTTAGAAATTTGAACTAATTTCTTCCATAAAATGTCATTGGGCCCTAGACCGACGTACTCCCCTCTCTCGAATGAAAGTGTGAAATCTAAAGACCCTCTTCGTTTGCAATTATTGGAATTAAGTTAACTTTGTTCACATAACGGTTGTTTGTAACAGGCAAAACGAATCGAGATATGTAGATCAGAATGAAAAGAGAAATCGATTAAGCGGTGACTGTCTGTCTGTCTGCCCGTCCGTCCGTCTGTGCACACGATAACTCGATTCAAAATTAAGATATCTTAACGAAACTTAGTACGTGTACTTCTTTCGGGCGTAAGACGGACGGTGTTGAAAATGGGTAAACTCGGACAAAAACCACGCCTACCTCCCATATAACGGTAGTTTTCAGAAATACGAAAACTGCTATATTTTAGTAACTACTCAAGCCTATTCACTCAAAATTGAAACCATTATAAAGGTTTTTAGACTAAAAATAAGAGTATTATAAATTTTTGGGAAATGGGCGTAGCCACGCCCACTTATGATTACGTGTGTATATCTTAATAACCGCTTAATTAATTTCTCTCAAACATGGCACAGTTGTTGGCGTTGGTACAACATACCAAATGGCTGAAAATTTTCAAAATCGGACAATAACCACGCCCACATCCCATATACCGGTAATTAAGAGAAATATGAAATCTTCCATAAATCAGTAAATACTAAAGCTAATTCATTCAAAATTTATGCTTGCAATAATTCTTTTCTTGGAAAATGGGCGCTGCACCGCCCACTTATGATCACATATATGTATCTCGGTAACCGTTCTACCAATTTTTACCAAACTCAGTATGGTTATTGTGCTTGCCACATTAAAGCGAAACATTGAAAATTATTGAAATCGGAAATTACGGCCACCTTTCATATAACGGTAAATTTCAGGAATGCTTGAAACTTAGATATTTCGAAATTTAAGGACGCTAATTTACTCAAAACTGATACTAACAACAATTCCCTTGAAAAGAAGTAACATTCTTTGGAATTTTGGAAAATGGGCGTGATACCGCCCACATATGACTATGAAAGCTATTCTTTATAATAATCTAATTATATCTAACTGAACGTTCTATCAAAAATGTTTAAAATAGGGGTAAAACCACCATGTAGCGGGAGTTTTCGGAAAGGTGGAAAACACATATTTTTTACTTGTTTTCAATAAAAGTTTTTATGTTTGATTTTTGTACTTTTTTAATCAAAACTATCGCTAGTGTCGACATTTTCGGTAGTATCGATACTATCAATTTTTGGGACAATCGACTATCGAAACTATAGATGGCCGCGACCATCGATAGTTTTCCAGATCTAACTTGCGGGAATTCCCATTATTTTCTGCGCCTATTAAAGGGAATCAGATAAATTAGCAGACTTTTCCTGTTGTTTTATAAAAAGCTGTATAATAAAGTAAACTTCGCAAAGTGTTTTCTTTTGTATTTTTCGCCAATATTTTTCAGTAGTCAAAGTTAGACAAAAAAACTTCTCCGATTAGACTACATGTAGTCCATAGATATTAGCTCAGTTACAAAAAGAAAAACACGAAT